AAAAAAAAAAAAAAGAAAGAAAAAAGAAAGAGAGAGAGAGAGAGAGAAAGCTGAGGCCTGAAGAGCATAAGCAGTTTATCCTAGATTATCTAAAGGACAATCTATGCCATATACCTAGATCTGTGATTTCAAAATCCGTATACCTAGTTCTGAGGCTAAGTTCCTTACTGAGATTACCGTCAACTTATTATTTTCATTTTTCAAATAAAACTTCTTGGCTTGGCACTCCATCTTATGCCTGTAATCCAACAATTTGGGAGGCTGGGGTGGGCAGATCACTTGAGGTCAGGAGTTTGAGACCAGCCTTGCCAACATGGCGAAACCTCATCTCTACTAAAAAACAAAAAATAGCCAGGTGTGATGGCATGCATTTGTAATCCCAGCTACTTGGAGGACTGAAGCAGGAGGATTGCTGCAACCCAGGAGGCAGAGGTTGCCGTGAGCCAAGATTACACAACTGCACTCTAGCCCTGACGACAGAGAGAGACTCTGTCTTTAAAAAAAAAAAAATTATTTGTAGAAAGATATTCTCAACTAGTGAAATGAGTTTACTCTAACTTAGAACAGTAAAGTTACAACCCACATTGAAAGGAAGCTTTTCTACTTGAAGTTATAAATTGGCTACCACCTTGATATTAAAATTAAAATTTGTTCATAATTTTAGTCATTGATAATAAATGTGCCAACAATATATTTCACCCATATATATTTAAACAAACAGATTTTACAAACCTTCAACCAAAATAATAGAAATAAATTGGTATTATACACCTACAAAACTTAAAATGTTACAGAGATACCACATTTTCAGTGTCACAAGATTTGCCTTGCAAAACTAGAGTCACCACCTCTCTTCCTCTTTGATCATTTAATTTTAATATTGTGCATCTGGAGGATGAAACAGCACTTTGCAAATCATCACTTAACTTCAAGTACTAAGAATAGTTAATTCAATGGCCACATGCCAGTTTCTTTACCGATTACATACATACATGATCCAAGATTAATTTTAAAAATATTACTATACTGAAACCATTCCCACTGATTGTTGAGAATTTGTTTAAAGCTAGCTCATCTGTTATAACAAAAGGCTGTTAACCTACCTGTCACTGCTGGTACTACTGCTGCTGCTGATTGAATCACTACTGGAGGATCTACTTCTAGAGCCGCTGCCGCTAGGGGACCTTGTGGGTCTAGACGCTTGGCTAGCCAGTCTCTGAGGAGACTGATTTCTAGACTGGGATGAATGTGGTGACCGACTCCTGCTGTGCTGGTAATTCCGATCTGGCCTTCTGCCTCGTACCTCCCGGGTAATATCATCCCTGTAGATATCCCTGTGTACCACACTGGGCAGAGTAAACTGCTCCCGAGCCCTAGGTTCATATCGGGGGTCATGAGCATCAAAGCGATTTGGACTTCGACTCCGAGAAGCATAATAGAGCCCATGTTGTAAAGTCCGCTCTCGAGGATCTCTATAGTAATCCTGATCGTAATGTCTTGTCCGATCAAATCCTCCCGTCCCCCGTTCATGGTGTCCATAGGCACTATGTTCATAAGCACGCTCCCTGTTATCTGAAGCCCTGCATTTAGGAGGGGGGAAAAATATTTAATCAGAAAGGAGCAAGCAAAACTAAAAGCAAGTCATGCAAACATTCACTTCAGCATTGTCTTTGTCTTTGCAACTGGTCATTTTCTAAACAGCATTAACCTACTTAGTAAGCAAATGCTAACAAGCTTAACATTTTACTTTGCTCCAAAAATTATTTTCACAGCTGAGCAATCATTGTTTTCATCGTATATTGGGCTTTCATGACTAGTGTTTTGCAGCTCAGTTGCTCACTTTATTAGAGATTTTCTGACTTGTATACATAAATATACTATCTCCTTTTCATGTGAAATTTAATGGAACAAGAGGAGACTATTGTTTTCACTTTCATCTGATTAAAGTATATACCAAATTTTATTTACTCACAAATTTCTTTGAGGCCACATTTCCATGCTGCGTTTTAACTTAGACATGAAAGCCCTGCTGCAGCATGTGTCTCACAGTAGGAAGGACTTTGAAGGAAGTCCAGAAAAACCTTTCTACCTTTAACTTTTTTCATTAAGTTTTGACTGCTTGGATAATTACTAAGAAAATTACTAGACTACCTAAACTAGACTACATAGACTGCACAGTGGTGACCAATTACAGTTAATAATAAAAATTAAATATCCCAAAAAAAGCCACTTCAAATATCAAAATATTGGGTTATCACATGCTGTTCTATGTAAATTTAAATAAAAATTATTTTACTCCTTGTGCTATCAAATTCCATATGACTTTAAAAATGTCTATTTCATAATTCAATTTCTTAATGTATATACTCAATGGTAGTAGAAAATATGTTCTCTTAGCTTTTAGTTATATTCAAATTGCCTGTGATGAAATTAAGCAACATTAGAAACTATAAGATATTCTAAGGTCACTTAGAATCCCACTAAAATCATTTAATAGGATGTATCTGTCAACCTAAAAAGTACAAAACATGTTGCATGTACAATTACACACATGCAATTATGTGTTAATATTAAAAACTAATTGTAATCCTATGAAGAAATCATAAATTCTCTACTTCTGTAGCACATACAATTATGTGTTAAGATTAAAAACTAATTATAATCCTATAAAGAAATCTGGCCAGGCACAGTGGCTCACATTTGCAATCCCAGCACTTTGGGAGGCTGAAGCAGACAGATCTCCTGAGGTCAGGAGTTCGAGAGCAGCCTGACCAACATGGTGAAACCCCATCTCTTTACCAAAAATACAAGAATTGGCCAGGCATGATGGTGCGCGCCTATAATCCCGGGCTGAGGCAGGAGAATCGCTTGACCCCAGGAGGCAGAGGTTGCAATGAGCCAAGTTCGCACCACTGCACTCCAGCCTGGGCGACAGAGCGACACTCCATCTCAAAAAAAAAAAAAAATTTGTAAGTTCTCTACTTTCGTAGAGAAGTAGAACTCAGCTCCTGAGCTCCTAAAAGACCATTTCACTGGATCTATCTTCTATCAAAAGGGATCAAGGAATCATGAAAGATAAAGAATTAAAATATCTCCAGTGAAGAGTATCTGGCAAAATTTTATGATAATTAATACTAGATCCTCAGTACATGCTTAGATTCCAGGTCTCTCCACTAATAGTCATTTTCACCCATTATTTTACTTAGTAGCAACCCTATCCTCCTAGGCTTAGTTTAGCTTTTTTGCTGCTATTGTGAAAAACAACTGGCATGATAAACATTCTATATCTTTCCTACTTAAATGTATTAAGTGACTTTCTCTTTTATTCACTACAATTCTGAAATTTTGATATTTCAATGTCTAACAAATAAGAAGGTATCCTTTGAGAAAAATGCCATAAATAATTAATTTAGCACCTACCAAATGTTAATCAGTGAAAGCCAATATTAATGATATAACAGAAACAATAGGAAAAAAGTTCTAGGATAATTACCGCTACAGCTGCTATTTTATAAATATGCAAAGTTTTTATCCATTAAGAAGATACAGAAGGCAGGCACAAGAGCTAGCAGAGCTGAAATCTAATGGCTATTCTCTGATTCGCTATTAGTACTAAATACTTCTAGAGTTAGTGGGGGAAAAAAAGAGAGTTTGACTTGGGTTAGGAGAGGGGCTAATATACACAGGTCAGGACATACCAACCTTTTCCAAGTGTGGAAACACGACCTATAATCCCAATTAAATCTAGGGAGAGAATTGTGAACATAACTTCCCCAATTTTGGCCCCTCTTATGGGGGTAATCCACCTTCTTAATGGGCAAGGGTGTCAAATGATATTTAGATGAACCACAAGAAAAAAAAATCTTAGTGACCAGACAAAATAATTCCACTGGAAGCAAGTAGTCCCAAACAAACTGTAACTCTCAAACCCCCAGACTTCTTTCTTGAGAGAGTAGACAATTAGAAATTTATCCACATTCATAAATATTTCCAGCCCTAAGTGTGAATCAGGCAGCTGGCAGAAGAGGAAATATCCTCTACAATTCCAACAAATGAGGAAGCACAGTAGCTCGCCAAGAGTTCACTTTTGTAGCCATCCAGCCCAGTTAATTTTGACTGCTGTATCCACAACTGATCATCACCATGTGTTCAAAGCTAAAGTACCTTTGATTGGACAGCAACTTGCTTAAGAAATGATATAGTAATCCTCTTTCCCTGGGCTAGTGGAGTCTTGACAGCATGACATCCCATATATCCCAGCAATTAGAAAAGAATCGCTATATTCCAGGATTTAGGAAACGTCCATCATTTCATTTTTCCCCCATTCCATCAAGGAGTATAATTCCAACAATACAGAGATTGTGTAGATCCAAAATGGAAAAATCAAGCATTGCCTTCTCTCTTCATCCAAGTACACATTTCCATGTTAAAGAATTGTTTGTAGAATCCAAGTGGTTGAATCATTACGGTCTGCTAGACTCTCTGTGACAATCCAATTTGTTTGTACACTTTATGCAGTGAAAATGGAGAGGCAGATATCAACTTCTAAAAGAATCTGTAGGCTCTTATATTCCAGAAATATTCCATATAGTACGAACACAAAAGCCAAATAGCTCCATCAGGTAGAAGGGATATATCCAAGGAAGGACTTAACATTATCCAAGAGAAGGAATAATTAATTCTAGAAGACAGGTAACTCCAAAAATGATGCTTCCATAGGAAATCTTCCACCACTTTATATCTCAGGAACAGATATCCAATCAGCTGCAGGAAATATCCTCTACGATTCCATAAGATAACAGCCATTGGGATAGAAATCACTTCCGTTTCCAACCCAAAATAGGAAACATTGAGAATGCCCAAAACTTTAAATCCGTCTGGGGCCCCTAAATATGAGTTTCTGTTTCTCACCATATCAAATACAAAATACCTGCCTACAGAAACCTTGGAACTTACCCATCAAGTCTCCGCTCATAACGTCCTTCTCGTGCATGAAGTGACGGTGGAGGACCATAAGCAGGCCCTCCACCACCTCCTCTGAACCCAGAAACCTCTCTACTACGAGATGCTATGGAAACTGTATCATCCAATCCCCGAGCAGCACTCGGGATGGTGCCTGGTTCATTATAATCCGTGCGTAGGTCTCTATCTCCCATTTTGTTGACTGAGTTATGAGCTTTCTGTGCACTTTTGATGTCCACAAAATCCACAAAGGCAGCCACTCCTCCTTCAGAGCCCCTCTTGGGGAGAATTTTGACACTTTCCACACGGCCATATCTGGAAAAAATAAAGTCAATGTTATTGCTGCATATTAATTTTCCAAAATGAGATTTTAGAAATTTTTTTAGACAATTTATGTTATGTATATAGGAGGGCCAAGCTGCAAAACGACTTTTTAAATGGCTCTCTTTTACATTTACATTTTTGTCTCTGGGGAAAATATTTTTACCACATTACTATATTACTCTCATTTTTTTTTTTTTTTTTTTTTTTTTTTTTTTTGGGTTTTTTTTTTTTTTTTTTTTTTTTTTTTTGAGTCGGAGTTTCTCTCTTTTTTCCCTTGCTTGTTTGCAATCACACATGGAGCACATGTCCAAGCTCGG